CAACATTTTGGTCAATGTTGACTTTTAAAGTCAAAGTTTGACTTTTGGTCAACCATCTTGACGTTTGAAGAATAAAGCCGGATTTAAAATGTTTTTAGAACAGTATTGATTGGTCTCAGTATTTAATTGGACTAGCTGGAATTTGAGGATTTGCAATCATTATTCTGGAGTTTTCTACAAAAGGCTAGAACATTGAGTGTCTTCACTCATTTATTTTGATCTGATGAATCAGAGGTCTTGAAGGTATGCAATCAATGTTCTTGAGATTTTGGATTTAATCAGATTTTGCGTGTTCTCAGTCATGCTTTTAGCCTGATCAATTAGAGGTTTGATAGTCTACAATCATTATTCTAGTGCTTTGGTTGTGATCTTAGAATTTTGAGTGCTTTTAATCATTCTTCTGGATGGGATATTTGGATCTGATTCTGGTTATTCAGTTTCTGGAAGTTTAAAGGAAAATCGGCTTATCTTTTGGGTTTGACATGTTGTTCTTGAAACTATGTGCTTACTACTGATTCTTCTTTCCTGGTCTCCAAAGTCAAAGGTGTTTGTTCTTGTACTTCAAGTAATTATTTACCCCATTATGAGCTTACCAAGATCAAGCTCTTAAGCTGAATGCCTATTCAACTCGTGGTTCACTGAAAGATTCTTTGTCATTAGACTATTTGCACTAGAATGTCACAAGGCTTGCATTATTTTCTATCCACTAAGTTGGATGAATTAATTGCTTTGGGGTTGGCAATAATTCCGGGGTTACAGAATGTGTTGAGTCGTCTGCAATTTAGCTGTACTTTGTACAAATGGTGGTGTTGAATTCACATTGAATCTTATCTTAAAGTTGAAATTTAAAGAGTAAGAGCTATCTTCCAGGGGGGGGGCTTGAAGATTTTATCATTGCCGAACACACCAAAGTTTTCTCAAATAAAGCAGTGGGGAGAAGACTTGAAGCTTTCAAGAGGTGCTTGCTTTATAAAGCTTTGGGGGGAAATTGTTAGGACAAAAATAGTCCTAAGTTTTAGAAAGTCATTTTATTGTATTGTATTGCAATATCCATTGTATTTAGGTTAAGGGCTATTGAGCTTAACATGTAAATGTCACCTATAAATAGGGACATGGGGCTTAGATTAGAATGTTAATCATTCATTCAATCATTATATGTAATTCACATGAGAGTCGTGTAAAAGAGATCGAGAGATTTTAGTTTGCTTTCTAATAAAAGAAGCTGCCCGAATTCTTCATCTTGTTCTTCAATCTCTCAATCTAATATGAACTGTTCTTGATTTGTTGTTGAATCTGAGATTCACATTTGGTATCAGAGCTGAATCGATTCATCTAAATCGATACGATCATACTATTCAACAACAAATTTGAGTATCATGACACCAACATTGCATACGCATCTTATTGTCCATCCAATCTATGAATTTCTATAAAATGGACTGGTCGCAACTAAACATGTATGTACGAAATCGACACCATGATTCACACTACACTTGGATTCATCCTATTGATTTATCTGACGTAGTCTTCAACATTTGAAAGAAATGCAAGGTTTCTAGCAGCATGATGCTATAATGTATTTATGTTATAAAAATTTGGATGTTACAGATAACATGTCCCTAGTGTATAGGGAAGCTCATAGGCCAATATCTTAGATTTCAAATATTGTTGTTCTAGCCGTTTTACTCATAGTTCACAAGTGTAGATGATGATATTTTCTATTTAAGTTAGTTTAAAATGTACCGTAATAAGGATGGTGATTTGCCCTCATCCGGTTGGGAACCCGGTTCAACCGACCCGAACAGGACGGGAGATTCTCTGCTAAAACGAGTCATGGGGCCGAGGATCCGGTAGACTAAAACTAGCCCCGATAGACTCAAACTAACGAATATTCTTTATGGGGTTTGACAGGGGTTTGACCAGGGATGAGATGTTAATCCCCGTACCCGCCGGGGACCGAGGTCAGGGCCGGGGGCTGTTACTAACAATCGGGGCCGAGACTGGGGATTACAAAACCTGACCCATGTCTGCCCCGTTGTCATGCCTAATCGGCAACACTTAGTTATGTTACTCCCTCGTGCTGCAGAAGTATCACGTAAGAGGCAAATCAGATACATGATGGCTCACTAGGTAAGCCAGCTTAAGTGACCATCACCCACAAAGAGCTCACTAACCAATCCTAAGGAACTGTTACTCTTACATACGGTTGATAAACTCGAACCGTTTATATAAGTACGTCATTTTGAATCTAGCTGTGATACACCCGTCTTGAGTGCGAGATATCGTTGTTGTATGACTAATGGACAAACTATTTTTGTTTTTTAAAAATGTATTTATTTCAAAATTGGAAAGGAATATATTTATTCAAATTTAAAAAGGATTGGTGCCAAAATACAGGTGAAAAGAAAGCGACATTTAGGCAAGATGTCCTTATCAATTTATATTTCATTAAAATAATATTTTTGAAATATTAACATTTAAATTGGAAAATAATAATCAATTAGACACTTCATTTTGTAAAATAAAGTATTTATATCTATGCTATATTATAAAGTATTTAATAGAACTTTTAAAAAATCATTTTTTATGCATAAAGTACCGTTTATTAATGCATGTTACTTAAAACTCAAGATTACAAGTAGATTGTGCGTAAGCACAACTTATTAAAGCTTCATATCTGAATTTGTGTAACTAATTGCATATAAACATAATCAAATACAAGATAAACATCTCATTTTGAATATAAAAAATCTAAAATATAATTAGGATAATTATTGAAATCTAACATAATACTTAATTATTATCTTTATAAAATGTTATATTATTCAACCAAAAATAAATTATTTTATTATTAAACTTGAATTAAATTATAATTAAACAATAAATTAAAGAAATTACATAAAAAATAAGTAGTTTTAAATAGTTGATTTAATATTAACATTGCTATATATTTTTTTCCAAATTTTTATGATATATTCAAATTTATATCTTATTCAAAAATAAAATTATTATTGCTTTCTTAAAAACACATAAAATCGTATTATAATATCGACAGAGACAATGAACAAAATAGAACATTAAAATCGAGATGTATCTCGCTGCATTGCACGAGTATCCTTCTATTTATATTATAAAACATTTGACAAAAAAACTTTTAAAAATCATTTCTTATGCATGAAGTACTGTGTATTAATTTATATTACTTAAAATTTAAGATTACAAGTAAATTATGCGTAAGTACAACTTATTAAAGCTATATTTTTGAATTCGTATAACTAACTGCAGATAAACATAATCAAATATATAATAAATATCTCGTTTTGAATATAAAAAATCTAAAATATGATTAGGATAATCATTGAATCTAATAGAATCATCATTTTTTTTATAAATTTTTGTTGTTAAGTCAAAAATAAATTACTTCACTAAATCGTAAAAATATTATCCTTCTCAAAACCACATAAATTGTATTATATCAACAGAGATAAAAAAATAAAATGGAACATTTAAATGAAGATATATCTTGCTGTAAATATTGTGCGAGTATCCTTCTAGTTTTTCATAATAATGGAATTTGATATTTTTATATTTGATTAATCATTATATTCAACTTTTTTTCCAATAAAAACCTTATAATTTTAGAAAATACTATTAGGGGGTATTTATCAAAGGATAAACGGACCAGTGAACGTTACAAGAACCGAGAATCTTGGTTGGTAAAAGCATTTCCAACAACTTTTTTAAAATGAAGAAAATGGAGGTTTTGAGTCAATATTTTGTATTTGGTTTAAACCGAACTAATTTATATTTGGTTTAATAATATAATTTTCTTATAAAGATAATAATTAATTATTTTGTTACAACTCGATAATTATCCTAATTATATTTTAGATTTTTTATATTTTAAAATGAGATGTTTATTCTTTATTTGATTATGTTTATCCGCAGTTAGTTACACGAATTCAAACATCGAGCTTTAATAAACTGTACTTATGCACAATTTACTTGTAATATCAAATTTTAAGTAATATGCATTAATAAACAATACTTGATGCATAAAAACGGTTTTTAAGAGTTTTTGTCAAATGTTTTATAATATAGTATAGATAACAAAGACCAATAATGTTACTTAATAAATGAGAGAAAAAACTCTTACACAATTAAAAAATAAAAAACACTTACCAACAATTCATTTTTATGACCGATAACATTACATGAATAGATAGACCCCTTTAATTTGTTGCTTTTGGGTTTTGACATAGCTTTATTAATAATTTAATATAAATTAATTGAATAATGATTAATATTTTTCGTTTAATTGTTTTTTCCATGTTATAATTGATCATTTACGTTTAGTTAAAAATTGCAAATTAATATAATTGTAAAAAAAAAATTGAATCCTTGTATTTAGGGGTTATTTGTTTACTTCTTAATAGTTTTATTAAGAGACAGTTTCTGAATCCTTAAGAGATAAATCTTGTTTGTTAAAAAAAGTCTGTCTCTTGTCAAATACATTGGGTCATATGGGATTTCCCCGTTTTCTCACCAATCGAGATATCCTCTGTTTTACGCACGATGATTCCAAAACCATCTGAATGACTTCCTTAACCATTCAACACCTTAATTTCGTTGTAGATAATTACCAAACAAGTATTTCATTTTACATTATATCATGAGAACCTTTTAATCATTCTGACCACTTAATCATTTTTCACCAAACCATTCAGCAGCTGCCAAACAGCCTAATTTTTTTAATTATTACGAAATTAATAAAAAAAAATCATATAATCAATTAAGATAATTATATTCAAATGCATATTCTTAATTTTGGACGTATATTAATACTATAATTAATAACTTCCATAAAAAACAAATCCCATCGATTATTTCTAGAAATTAATTTATTTAATTTTTAATTAAATTTAAACCAATTAAAAGTTCCCAATCTTTATATAAAGGGTTCAACACCCACACCATAGTTTTTTTCAAAGAAGGCCACAATGTTGTCAAGAGCTTTAAACACCAAACCTAGAAGAAGCATTAGGTTTCTTGAATATTTCCCTTTTCAATTAATTTCATGAATTAATTCGCGATTAATTAACTATCTGTTATTTATGTTTCTTTCAGGTATACTGAAGGAAGTTGCCGGCCGTCGCTTTCTTTAAGCGAATACGACGAGATTTTCCTGGGATGTATGGAGAATGAGGTGGTTGTGCCGTGTGACGGTACTGTTGCGGAGGAAGATGGTGGGGTTCGGTGGAGACTGAAAGATGTGATGGGGGCATCAGTTGGGGTTGTGGGAGAGAGCGCGTTGGGTGTGACGGAGAAAGTGGTGTTTTCAAATGGTATGTGTAGTGTGTTGAAAAGGTTTAGAATGGTCTGTGTGAGAAGGAGGGAGTTTGGGCGACGGGTAGGTGTGTTGGCGGCAGTTGGACAACGATGCGATTATCTTGTTTCGATGAAGGCGTATCTTTATTCCAAGAGGTTCAAGTTCGTTGTTTGTGATTACTACCCAATGGGTAGTCTATATGATCTACTTATCGGTATGCTATTTTTAACAATAAGCAAATAACTGATGTGTCTTTTTCATCTTGCACGTTTTTTTCGAACGGGGGCAAAAGCATTTATTAAGATTCCATGTATTGGAAAACTGTCTCAAAAGAATTATATTTACATACTGGTTTTATATAGTTTGGTTGTTGAATAAACTGATTTCAATTTCTTGGGCTCGAGCGTTTCAGGGGCAAGAGAACATGGTCACACTCCGTTAAGCTGGAAGCACAGACTAAAGATAATCTTGCACATAGCAAGAGCCATTGGCTTCATCCATTCACAATCACCGGCACGAAATAGAAACATGATCATGAACGTTCATGGAAACCTTACAACCTCAAACATCATGGTCGATGTTGATTTCAATGCTTATCTCTCAAACTATGGATTCACCCAACTTGCAGTGGAAGTTCCCGATACTGGTCAGCGAAAACCACCATCGCCGCCTTCCCCGCTACCTTTCTCATGTGAGCCATTGTCACAAAACAACGACATATACCATTTCGGGATAATTATACTGGACATTTTAGGAGGATCAAAGGCACTGGAGTCGATAGAATGTGGTTCTGAACGAAAAGACGAGATAAAAGTTAAAGGATATGCAACTTTCGAGTTCCCTTTTGAAGGGAAGGATAAAAGAAAGGTTTGGAAGGTTTGGAACATGGCCATGACATGTATAAATAGCTCACATGAAGCTATGCCTTCAATTGACTGCATACTCCAACATTTAAACAGATTATATTCCTGACATACTTTTATATAGAAAAAAAAACCCTTTACTATATTTTAGCTGGTTCAGTATTAATATTATTTCATCTGATAAATAATGTTTAATAAAGATCTGTTGCAATTTGCAGTATCCGAGTCTGTCAAAAACATTTTTCTAAGTTGTTAATCATCACGTGGAATAAATCATATTTCATTTCAGTATATAGACTGTATATTACTGTTTTAGATTAAAAATTAAACTTTGAACGTCAACCATCTTAATAGATCGAAGTTATATGTTTGATCAGTTATTGTTTTAGAATTTTATACTCAGACTACACTGTCAACAACTACAATGGATTTTCATCGGATGAAGTTTACGAAGCCACGTTTTAACGCTTTCAGTGTTGAAGAATATAAATATATAAAAAAGACAACTAAGGGTATTTTTGAGGGTCACTTTTTGTACCCAATTTGGATTTGGATGTATATGAGGTATAACTCCAAATCATGTGTGTTAAAAATGAATTAAATTAAAAATGGAATATACATACATATATATATATATATACATATATATATATATACATATATATATATATATACATATATATATATATATACATATATATATATATAGGGTTGTGTTCACGTGAGACCAATGGTTTTTCGTGAGACCTGTGAGACCAATTTATGTTCATTGATCAACTTTATAAGTTAATGATCTAATGGTCTAAAATTGCACGATGACAATTTTGTAATTATTGAGAAGTCTCGTGGCAATTTTATGATTATGAATTTTGAGATTGAAGATTTAATCCAATGGTTGAGAATTGGTCTTACGGGTCTCACAAAAACTTTTGGTCTCATATGATCCCAAGTCTATATATATATATATATATATATATATATATATAGAGAGAGAGAGAGAGAGAGAGAGAGGATAGGTGATCGAGACTGGGGCAGATATGAGATAAGAGATAAGTAGAGGTGGAACGAGTCGAGAATGCGAATATGGAGGACTACGTGACAAGTATTTACTTTGTTGTCGCTCTAAATATGATTTATGGAGATCTACGTATGGAAATGACAGTACTTTCTTGATTTTACATTTGGAGTAAGAAAATGAACTACATGTTCTCAGATAAATAGAGTATAAGATGTGCATACGTTGACATTACCACTGGAACATATTTCACAAAATGATAGGAATAATATATAGTCAGATCTAAAAGTGACAAAGACGTTATCATATCTTAGAAAATCAAGAGATAGACGAGAGTTAAAAATTGATAATTACCAGTACGTTCAATGCATACCATGCAACGCTCTTCGGCAAATAACATAATCAAAACATTGATTGTTTATTCTCCCTCAAGCAGCTCCTAACAAGCCCTAAAACATGCCCATAAGATTTATGGGCATTGTTGGGCTGAGTCAGAAGCCCTTGAGGGAGAGCAAGTAATCAATGCATCGGAAAACTCTCTCTCATTGGTTTTGAAATCTTTCTTGATAAACCTTATTGGACAAGAACCCGTTTTTATAAGCGGAAAACAAAGAATAGGAGACATACAATACGTTCAATTTGGTGGGGTCTACATATCTTTAGCCTTTTGACATTTAGTGCAAAAAGTGAATCTTGGTAGCGTTATAAAGATAAGATACGAGCTTGAAAAGCATATCAATCAACAAATCAACAATTAACAAACAAGCATGATTAGCATACTTTAATCATATAGGACAAAATCATTAAAGATGCATTAGTTTGTGTGAAAGAAAGGTATTGAATCACGAGGCGTATTAACATTTTGTATCAAAAACAATGAACGGGTTTACTTCAGAATCAAAGTATATGAGAATTTTGATCATATTGCAGGGGAAAGATCGATCAGATTGGCAGTACAAAGATGATAATGAACCGAAGATCATATCATACAGACTAGAATAGTAATCAATGAGATCAAGATATATTATACTGACTAAGGTGGGTATAACTGTTTTCGTGTAAAAAATGTACTGTTTTTCATACAAAAAACTCATTCACTATATACAAAAATTCTAGCTTTATGAAAAAAAGTATTTTTCTGGTTTTCTTCACATGTTAATTGTTTTTACACACTATATCGTTATGTAACCTAAAAGGTTGGCTCTATGGTAGGTATCTATGTTGGGCATGAGGATCACGAGCAGTTATGGGATCAACGTAGGACTACAAAATGATTGGTTGTGCCGACTATAGGTCCAAGACTTCGACTCTAAGTCAGTTATGATATTTAGTTGGATGCCCAACCCAACATAGGTCCGGTTCAAACCCAGTTTTGGCAATAGTTGATCAGCACTGGTCAAGACCATTAAAAACAATATTTGAATATATATATATATATATATATATGTGTGTGTGTGTGTGTGTGTATATTTACACACATACAAATACACACAGAGAGATCATAAAAGAGAGAACAAAGTAGAAATAAATAACTAAATTCAACCAGGTTTGACCAAGCAACCAAAATTATAGTATTGGTTCAAGAAGTGATTACATACATTAAAGAGTGATACTTCAATATTTGAACAAAAGTTAATTTTAAGTGTATTTATAATGACTAGAAGGATACTTGCATAATGCAGCGAGATACATCTTGATTTTAATATATTGTTTTGTTCTTTGTCCATGTCGATATAATATAACTTTACATGGTTTTGAGAAAATAATAATGTTTTTATTTTTGAATAAAATATAAATTTGAATATATCATAAAATTTTGAAAAAATATATATCGATATTAATATCAGATTAACTATTTAAAAATTCTCGTTTTTAGTATAATAATTTTAATTCAAAATTTTTATTATAATTTAATTTAACGTAACGAAGTAACTTAATTTATGTTTAATAATTTTTTTTTATAAAGATAATAATTAAGTATTCTGTTAGAACTCAATAATTATCCTAATTATATTTTAGATTTTTTATATTTTGAAATGAGATGTTTATCATTTATTTGATCATGTCTATCCGCAGTTAGTTACACGAATTCAAAGATAGAGCTTTAATAAGTTGTACTTATGCACAATTTACTTATAATTTTGAATTTTAAGTAATATGCATTAATAAACAGTATTTTATGCATAAAAAATGTTTTTAAAAATATTTGTCAAATGCTTTATAATATAGTATAGATATTCTAGAGCAAAAAACGTGTGTAAAATTTTCAAAATCTCTATTTTCTTTGTTTTAAATAAATATACTTTTAAAACTATAAATATTACCTTTGTTGTCATTAACTTTTGATTTTTATAACAATTTGGTCCTTTAAGTTACACTATTTAACCGACAGTTGTTAACTAACCTACTTGTGTGAGGGCTAATTCGTCATTTTGGTTTTTCCTTNTTTATTATAATTTAATTTATATTTAATAACGAAGCAATTTATTTTTTGATTTAATAATATAATTCTTTATAAAAATAATAATTAAGTATTTCGTTAGAAATCAATAATTATCCTAATTATATTTTAGAGTTTCTATATTCTAAATGAAATGTTTATCCAATGTTTGATTATGTTATCTGCAGTTAGTTACACGAATTCAAGCATGAAGCTTTAATAAGTTGTACTTATGCATTATTTACTTGTAATCTTGAATTTTAAGTAATATAAATCAATAAACAATATTTTATGTATAAAAAAATGGTTTCTAAAATTTTTTGTCAAATGTTTTCTAATATAGTATAGATAAGTCATTTAAATTTCATAACCCATAAAACATTATATCTCAGATTCAACTTTTACTACACAGAATTAACGTTTTATATATAAATATAATAAATTAATTTTAATTAAAATATAATAATTATTAATATAAAAAAAGGAAAAATGGAAGAATGACTAGATGGTTGGCCTTTGATATAAAGGATAGGTTAACCAATCTAACTTTATATACCAAAACACAAAGCATATCAAAACCATATCTATTGTTGCATATTTGACATTCCTTAAGATCAAAAGGGTTGACATCCATCACTTATTCCTATCTCAATATCAAATGTTACATAGAATCTTGAACTTTTGTCTGTTTCAAACCTTAAAATACTGATTCGTGTTTGCGAAAGCAGTCTGTAAAACGATGTCGTATTGAACTGTTTTTATAAACATCTAGGCATTTAGGGGTTGTTTACTGAATATTTACTGGGTAAGTGCTTATTGACATGAATGGTCAAGATTCTTACCAGACAAAAAGGATTGGTCATTTCTTGTAAGCGTCTCTTACCTGGTAAATGGTGATCGGGTAAGAGTCTTGTTTTCTTACTTTCCGGATGAAATTCTCGATTCTTGTCATGCTCAACGATAAAGTAAGTGATGGAGTAAGTGTTTAGCAGATATACGTTTGGTAAATGACCCCTTATTGACGAAGGCGAAAGATCGTGTGAGAAGGGAAGTTATGGTGATAAGCGTAAGAGGAGATTTGAAACATTGATCACTTTTATTCTCATGCTCACCCATGAATTGCGTTTTAGAAGAGAATTGATCTTATCCATCTTGGTGCACCTCATTATTGTTGACAATTAATTATGATTGATTTAAAGGTGATGATCTCTTCTTACGCTTTTCACCATATATTCCCTTCTCATCGAAATCCAACCATATTGATGAATTTATACAACCACTGGTTTTCACCACCCTATTTGTTAAATGTCATCGCAATTTTATTTTTCGTTGCGAAAGTTATCAATTTGAATATGTAACTTTTTGTTTATAGAACTAACGGTTGATTATTTTTTTAGGAATTATCGAGTACAAACTAATTATTATTTTGTTGGACATGATGATAACGTATTTTAGACAAATTTTCATCCGATGAGGTCCAATAATTCGACCTTTTTAGAGATCAAGGGTGTTTCAGCATCAGATAAGACCTATATATGAATTTTGTTTACCGTACATAAATATTATATGTTAAATAATTGATTTAAAAATCTAATTGTATTGGTCCTTACATTCGTTTTTGTAGATATGTTTTCTATATTTACTTTTAATTTAGCTAGATTATGTGCATTCAAACATGTAACCAGAAAATAAGCTAGTTTATTTTTGCCAAATAATGCCTTAAGAATCTCAATTTTCGTTCTTTTTGACACATCATTGTCACCTCAACAAAATAATAATCTTAATAAAACTCTGTAATTAAGGTTTTTACAAGAACCCCATTTTCCATTTTTTATTTATAGATTATATATATATATATATATATATATATATATAATTATTAGTTAGTACTTGCACAATACAACAAGATGTAAAATTTAATAAAAACTAAGAATATAGAATTAATGCAAATGTTCTTTACATGATTTTAAATATTTTAAATATTATAAACATTGCAAACAATTTTTTTTATTAACCTGGATATCTAACATGCTATGCGAGCTGACTAATCCCAGGATAACCATCTGTTTTGCAGATAACCCGGAGTCACCGCATTTGAACCTCCGTGGCCACAAGGGGACTTTTATTCCTCTTTGAATTTGAACCTGAGACCTCCTGATACTTTTGAACTTTAGAGCAAAACAATTTTTATAGCTTACCGTTCACAGATTGCATTCTTTATCAATAAAATGATAAACAATAATAATAATAATAGGAATATACACAAGAACCCGAGTTCTTGTTCAAACATCTGACTTGCTATAAGAACTAGTGATCGAATAAAAACTCTTATATTATAATGGAGATTCTTATAAAAACTCGAACAAGAACCTCAACTAACCTGTATTTTTCTTCATTTTACTTTACTGTACCTCTTAATTTTTTTGGAAGCACCTGTATTTTCCTAGAAAATTTACATAAATAGCTAAAGTTGATAAGTGGTTTCACTTTTTAGTCATTTTTCAACCTAAATTCACTTTTTACCAATCTTTACGTAAAAGGCTTACACATATACGTAAGGATTGGGTTTTCTGTAAAAAAGAAAAAAGGTAATAGAAAAAGAAGCGCAATGCATATGCATAAGGTTTTTACTTTTTACGTACAAATTCCACCTCCTTCCCAAAGATTCTTGTTTTTTTATCCAAAACTAGGGGTGTTTGAGATTGTTTATAGAAATAATTTATTGACTTATTTCAGTGTGACATCGGTAATAAGTATTTTTGAGTTTTTAGATAAACAACTTGTACCGCTATCAAACCGGTAATAATTTTTCTTTAAAATAGTTAAACCATTCTAAATTGTAATAACTTGATATTTAAGAGGTTGTTTGGCGTTTGTTGAATGGTTTAGTGCAGAATGATTAAGTGGTCAAAATGATTAAGAAACTTTTGTGATATAGTGCAAAATGAAATATAATTTTTTGGTAACTGTTTACAATAAAATTAGGGTTATGTACAATTAAGAGAGGTTGAGGATACAAAATGAGAAATTTTTAGAACCATTAAAAAATAGATTTTTTTTATCAAAAGATTCTATCTCTTAACTATTCAATGACCTAACTTTTAATTAGGGCTATGTACAGGTGTCTTCTCTCATTCCATCGGGAAAAATGGCTTCGAAACGCCGGCGAACAACGGAGAGTAAACACGAACAAGCAGTACAAAAACGTTCTTCGATGGTCACAAGAGCTCAGAGTTCGTCGGTGAAGATAAATAATAATAATAATTCTCCGGTGGTCGTCTTCGCTCACGGCGCCGGTGCTCCTTCGTCTTCTGAGTGGATGATTAGGTTACATTTTCTTAACATTTTCTCTGTCGCTTTCCCCATTTTATACATTTTTTTGCATGTGAATTGTTTTACAAATTTTCCATCTCCGATCGTTCTGCGCCCTTAGACTGTAAGCTTTTGGTGCTATAATCTATCATTTGCCAATTTTTGGTTCGAATGTAGCAACAATTCCTATAAGAACTAAATTTATAGGGAAAACAAGACCTAAAAGGTTCTAGATTCTTCAATTGATTCGAGCTATTATAAGTTATCAGGGGGTGTTTGGGATTGCTTATATGAAAAGTTCTTATCAATTTATTTTAAAGTTAGAATGGTTTAACTTTGTTCAAAAACCTTTTTTTATAGGTTTGGCACCGGTATGAACTGATTATCCAAACACTCAAATATGCTCGTTGTCCCACCAGAATAAGTCAATTAGTAGATGGTCGAGTAAAATTAACTTATGGGAAGTTGACCAAAATAGTCAATTTCTCCAACTAAATTCACCTTTTAGCCAATTTTTTCAATCAAATTTCCATTTTAGCACCATTACAAATGCCTCCAGCATTTCCGAAAAGCTTATTTTCATATCAGAAAAAAGAAAAAAATCTTTACGCAAATTTGGGTAAGGAGGATTATCTGGCTTTAGAGGCATTGGCATAAACTTTGACTAAAACGAGAATTCGATGTCAAAAGTGGCTAAAAAATGAATTTTGGTAGATTTCCTAATTTGTAATATGTGAATCTAATTGAGTTATAATGGGCTTATTTGTCATATATAGTCTACCCAGACCTTAATGGGAGGAAGTGAGGTAGAATAGGTCTATTTGTTGTTAGTGGATATGATATGCCTATTTATTCATAAGAAGTGCAATTGGGTCAAAATGACATAACTAGGTCATAATTAGTCTCATTAGATCCTAATGGGTTTAATGGGCCCATTTCTCCCTGAGGAGTCTAATTAGGTCAAAATGACACTAAATGGGTCATATATTGTGTAACTAAACGTTTATGTGACTATTTAAGGTAGAATGGGTCTTAAGGGTCCTTAATAAGTCCATTTGGTCTTGGCGGGTATAATGGGCCTATTTCTTTAATCGAGTCATTTGCGTCAAAATTAGACTAAATGAATTCTAATTAATCTGATTAGACCGTAACGGATTTCTTAGGTCCATTTCTCCATAAGGAGTCTAATTGGCCCAAAATGACACTAATTGGGTCATATTTAGTACATTAATTGGGTCATATTTAGTTTGATCGAACCTTAATGGGTATAATGGACTTATTTATCCCATTTGAGTGTAATCGAGTTATAACGGTATTAAATGGGTTATAATTAGTCTAATCCGACGTTAATGAGAGTAAGTGAGGTAGAATGGATCTGAATGGTCTTTAAAGGGACCCTTTGGTGCTAGTGGATATAATGGGCTATATATTTCCCATTGACTATGTTGGTAGATTTCCTAATTTAGTTAACTTTGTCATCAAAAAACTGGATGTGATTTGAGTAGATGTCAGGTGCATCTTTATAGCTTCTGGTTCTATTTGGCAATAACAATTTGATTTAAAGGATTCATTTGATAGCTGATTTGGGACTTGTGTACAGATTGTCCGAGTGTCATGTTTGTATAGTGGTAGATCTTAGCTCTGATACTATGTAAGTATATGTGGAGTTCCACTTAGATAAGAAAGGAGGTTTCAACGTATACTAAATGGTGAGACAATAGAAACTAAATATGGGACTATGGGTCAATTTGATACATACTACACTAATCACATGCTTGGTTTTATGCAGATGGAAGAACTTGTTGGCTGATGCACTAAATGCTGTTGAAGTTGTAACTTTTGACTACCCATGTGAGTTTTCCTTAAGAATCAAATTGAATTATGGGTTTTTTTATAGCTTTGATTCTTTATTCTTATCTGTATTGATGCATATTACTTAAAATTCAAGATCACAAGTAATTTTGCATAAGTACAACTTATTAAACCTCCATTTATCTGGTTTAAGCTGTTTATAGAAGCATGATATGAACATTATGATGTTTTCCGTTACTGACAGACATTTCCAAAAGAAAGCCTCCTCCAAAGGCAGAAAAGCTGGTTGAGTTTCACTCAGGTATCATAAAAGAGATTGATTCCAAGTACCCACAACATCCTCTCATTTTGGTTGGAAAATCCATGGGTTCAAGGTATCGCTTATCGAACTAGTAATCGTATTTTTGCATAAGTATAGCTGAAAAGTATCTATTCACAAATATGAATAGCTTTATACTATGTTTGGCAAACTAGTTGATAAACTGGCTATTGACTGATAAGCTAGATTTGGCTGAGAAACCAGCCATGTATGGATAAAAACACCTCGAGTTGAAACGCTGCTTGAAATAGCTTTTCAAAAAGCTTGCATATGGCTAACGGAACGGGACTTTTTTCAATAAGCTAGTTTATGGTTGCAAAACATAGTCTTAGGGGCCGTTTACTAAACGCTTATCCGGTAAGTGCTTAGCGGGTCATTTTATCTTATCAGATGAACATTACAAGGATTGAGAATCTTATCCGGTAAGAGCAATACAAGGACCAAGAGTCTTACCTAGTAAGTAAGAGTGACAACTCTTACCGTTAAGCGCTTACCGGACAAAAATGTTGCATATAGTATCGTTTTAATTGATTAAAATCTTACCCGGTAAGTTAAATGGAAGTGATGAATCTTACCGGTAAGCACTTACTGAGAAAGAGTTGGGTAAACGGCTCCTTAGTTATAATTTTGGTTGTTGACTTATTTAAGGTCTCTTTTTAAGTAGTCGCAGTCAAATCATGATTGCTCCATGAATCTTTAAGGATGGATACAAAAGGTTTTACTATCGTATGCAGAGTCAGTTGTATGGTAGCGGTTGAGAATGGTATTCGGGTTTCTGCAGTAGTTTGCCTTGGGTATCCACTAAAGGTTTGTTTATCATAATATCCTGCATCTGTTTACTTGATCGTTTACTTCCTTCCATGAACTTCATAGTGACAACATGATGCTAATGTACTATTGATCATAGTTGTTGGGGTCCCACATCAGATAGACTTGGACCATTTCTCCTTCATATATGTCGGAACTTCCCTCCTCTCCTTGATTACTCTTTTGGAGAGAAGTCTAGTGAGGTTTCATATATTTTCACATGGTATAAGAGCCAAGGTCTACTGACTCGACACTCTGGGCACGTCTAGGCTCTGTTGGAGCCTGGAGGGGCGTGTTGGAGTCCCACAAACTTGAACCATTCCTTCTTAATATGTGTTGAAACCTCGATTCATTTTTCAAGGGCTTTTTGAAGAGTTATTTAACGGGGTTTCATATATTCTCACAAATAGTATCTCTTGGTTGGAGATCACCTAAGACATGATATTTGGATTCATCAATACATCATTTTGTAGGGCACAAAAGGAGCCATTCGCGATGAACCCCTCTTGCTACTTACGGTTCCTACCATGTTTGTACAGGTGAACAATCAACTAACAAATCTAATTAGACTAATCTGGTTCAAGGTTCTGCATTCAGCAAGCATGAATCAACCCACAGATCACCATAGTTCACCTACAACAAAATCAGTTCTATAGGACGTCAAATATGTCTAAATGTCCTAATAGACTGTTTTATAGGACTTAAGCTTATATGACCAACAATTTTGCATTGTAGTAAAGGTGTTACAACAAGTTGATCGCATTGTTTTGGGCATCTTAAGTTTTTTAGACAATCTTGAAGTAAAACGTCCTATTATTCTTTTTATATGACATTATTTGAAAAAGTGTCTTGTAAAAGCAGTCTGTTAGGACATTTAGATATCTTTAACGTTATGTTAAACTGATATTTATATTGCTTGTATTTCAAAATGGATCCTGGAAATGACTGTTACACTACAAATGCCACTTACCATAAAGGTTTTCTTTTCATTTTTCAATTAATGAAAAGGGAACGAAAGACGGGTTGTGCCCGCTGGAGTTGTTGGAACCGGTTATGAAGAAGATGAAAGCTGTGAATAGACTTCATGCGATTGAAAATGGTGATCACTCGTTTAAAATCGCAAAGAAGAATCTCGAGTTGACAGGAACCAGTCAAGAGGAAGCGGAAGCACGAGCCGTTGAAGCAATTGCAACGTTTGTTTCCGAAATCATCGGTCCAAGGTAATTACTACCCCCTAAGTAACTTATCGTTACCCGTTGGGTCCCTATCTCTAACCCCGTTAACCTTAGCTCCGTTAAAAATATATACATCGACATGAACGCCCCCTCCCCTTCGTAAAACCCGCTACGGTATAGGATAACCTCCAAGGGTACTTTGGGTATTTTAAGTCAGTTTTTGGTGCACATGTATGATGTATCTAGCTGTGACAGTCACTGTTGATGCTTGATTTCCTTCTTGTTGAAAAGGAATATTGGTTGGATTCTGGAAACACAACAAAGTTGACCATTTATGGTCAATTTTGAATTCTAGAATGATACATACATAGAGAGAGAGAGACGTAGAGAGAGATGGGAGAGAGAATTTTGTTAGTAACTCAGAAACCGTAACAGAAATATCACGTGTCCCTCTTCAGAATGAATATTCATCGTCAATAATATATTTATGATGAACATGGTTTATTCATCACGAATCAGACGTTCATGATGAATATGGACATGTTATTCATCATGAATCATACATTCACGATAAATAAGTAGTAACATTCACGATGAATAATATATATGTATATATATATATATATATATATATAGGTTATATTTCAAATGCAACCATGTTCATTCGTACAACCAATGCAACCCAATCAATTAAGATATTTATGGAAATGATGAGAGTTCATTCATTATGATTTAAATATTTATGGAAGATGACTATATATATATTCTTGATTAATATGTCACGTGTTGTGGATAGTTTCCAGGTTTCTAATCAATTTTAAAGTTTTAACGAAACCTTCCTTCCCCTCCCCCTATATATATATATATATATATAGAGAGAGAGAGAGAGAGAGAGAGAGTATTTCAAATACAAACCATGTATTTGTTATAAACCCCACAAACCTAATTTCAACCCTTGATTTTGTTTATTTTGAAATTTAAGGGTAGTTGTCAAATCAGTTAAAGATGCGGTTGAGAGTAAATTTAGGAACCGATTTAATCCCCACCATTGATCATCTACATATACGATCAAGATTGGTTTGTAGAGTTTATAACAATTATGCAGTTTGTATTTGAAACTGTCTATTATTCCATCACATGTAATACTATTATTTCATCACATGTGATACACATGTGATACTAAATCAGAGGCGTTGACGATTTTCGATGCAATCTTGGTTGCGGGCCAAGTTGCCTTTACACCAGTAAGCCCCTTCATAAGTATTATCACATATGATAAGAGTGTTGTTGATATGATATTATAATCCATCAAGACTATCACATATGATGTTAAATCATAGACGCAGACAACCTTTGGCGTGACCTAAGTCGTAGAACACGTCGTCTGCACATCACAGGGTCCCCTTATGCGTATTATCACATGTGATAAGGGTGTTTTTGCGTTCTCGTAAAATGAAGGTGTTCTCGTTTAAATCTTAACCTCTATATATATATATATATATATATATATATATATACACACACTATTTGCACCTATTGATTAATTATTTTGAGTAAATGGTGTAACAATCACATTTTTGTTTCTTTTTGTAAACGTATGATATCATATAAGAAATAAAAAACGTTGACTGTTAAAATTTCGTATGACCATTTTGTATATTTGTTGGGTTTGATTTGGCCTCCGCTTCTAGAAGTAATTGGACTTAACTTTCAAACTCTAATTATTCCTTTTCAATTTTCTCAAATTGACTTATTCCGGTGTCACACCGGTAATAAACACTTTTGAGTGTTTGGATAAACAACTTATACCGGTGTCAAACCGGTAATAAGGAGTTTTTGAAGAAGTTAAACCCTTCTGACTTATCATAAGTTGATAAGTGTTTTTGTAGAAAAGAATAAGTTGTTTCAAATAAGCAATCCCAAACACCCCATCAATTCTAACCGTCTTAATTTTATAGAAAATATTTTATTTCATGTCCCTTCAATAAGTTATCGACGTACCATGGCTTTTTGCACCTCATGGCGTCTATATAACCACTCCCTACAATTACGTACTAGTCCCTTAGTTTTATACACGTCGAAATATGACTGGAGGAACATGGAGCAGGGACAGACCTACTCTATTGGATACAGTGGCACGGGTTATCACAGTGTAAAAAATTATAGGGTTGTGAAAGGTGTTACTTTATCATTTTGTTCTGTGCAAGTAGGGGCGAACCTAGGATTCTAACTTAAGGGGGGCGATAAAGCCTAAAAGACGTAAAAGAAAATGTATTTAACTTGTCGATTGGAGGTGTTTGAACAAGGTCTCGATATGAGAAATCTTGGTTGTTGCAAGTCTAGTGAGACTTGAAAGCAAGTACCTGTACCAGAAACCGACACAGGTGGGTAGGTAGAAAATACGTAGGGGCGCGAGACAACTCTCTCGACTTGTGATGAGTGGATTTTTAAGAAGTTTTTGAGATTGTAGATAACAACGAAGCCGAAACTGACTTTTTTTTTTATATCAAGTGAACAATTCTTTCACTAATTTATAAATGTGATGTAAATGAAGCCTTGTACATAATTTATGTTCATGGGTTAAAAAACGTATTTTCATAACTTGAGGGGTAAAAAATGACATTATGAAAATATGTGGTCCAAAAGATAATATTATTAAATTTTGATTTATATAAAAGATAATATTATGAAAGTTTGATTTATATAGTTTTGGACTTTGTATGATAATAGTAACATTAATTAGACTTCAACACCTTTTAAAAAACAAACGACATTTTAGTTTATTATGAATTTATAAAAATTGAAAACAATATAATTTTTTTTATTAACCTGGATATCCAACCCGCTATGCGAGCCGACTAATCCCAGGACGACCACCTGCTTTGTAGATGGCCCGGAGTCACCGTATTTGAACCTCCGTGACCATAAGGGAATTTTTATTCCTCCTTGCATTTGAGCCTTGGACCTCTTGATAATTTTGATCTTTGGAGTCAAGCTCAAATCAATCAGGCACCACCACCTTTGTGGTTTATAAAAATGTGTGAAATAGCAGTCTATTTTTACAATCTTTTTATTATAGCATTGTACTTTCAGTTTTTCTTATTACAACAATGTTTTAAAATATTCTTTATTCATGCATCGTACTTTCAAAAATTTATTCGTTATAACATCGGGTAACCTTTTAAATTAAATTCACCCATTATACATGGTTTCTTCGCCACCTCATCATCCATGTAGACAGTTCACATGTACGATAGTGCTGACATGACATTTCTTTTTATAGCATTGTACTTTTAAAATTACTTTATTATAACATCACCAAATTCTATTACAGCATTGCACTTTTAGTTTTAATATTCTTATCATTTAAACATTGTAAATTTAATCAAATATGTTTACTATAAGTTATAATATCAGAAATTAAACATGTTTATAAAATGTCACTATTCACGAATAAAATATTTCACTATTTCATGCCGGTAAGTAAGAGTTTGGTAAACGTCTTTAAACTTGCTTACATAAACTTTTAAAGTGAATTTTAATATTTATCGACCAATGTCATCTTTTTGGCGTGGTTCCGAAAGTCAATTCCCAAACTCGTTGGTATAAAGAGACCAGCATAGTACAAGGGCAGTGCTTGATTGGTTTGAGCTTGACTCCAAAGGTCAAAAGTACCTAAAGGTCTCAGGTTCAAATCCAAGGAGGAACAAAAATCTTCTTGTGGCCACAGAGGTTCAAATGCAGTGACTTCGGGTTATCTGCAAAGCAGGTGGTCGCTCTGGGATTGGTCAGCTCGCATAGCGGGTGAATATCCAGGTTAATAAAAAAAAGACCAGTTTATCAATCATCTAAGATTAGAGACGGTAGGCCAGTTTTGTGGTAGCGCATGCCACCTTTTCATTCCTCCTTCGTATTATAAAAAAAAATCATATGGTCGTGAAAATTGCCACTGTGTCAATTTATTATGTGTCACTGTATTGATTTATTATTTGTGGTAGCGCATGCCACCTTTTCGAGTTCGAATCTAGTTGGTGTCATTTTCTTTATTTTTAGCTTTTAATTTCAAATTTGTTATGCTTCTGGACAAAAAATTGTAATATAAGACTTGAACACATGACTTCACATATGAAAAACAATGATAACCAACAGACCAATCATAATTTTGTGAAAAATATCCCTATATTTATTTTATATTAGTTAAATGGTTTCACCATTTGAAAAAAATTTATGGATCCATATCTATCTAAAATACATTAATGCACATAAATTGAAACTAGAAGAGTACTCGCGTAATATAGCGAGACACATCTCGATTTTAATGTTCAATTTTATTATTTGTCTTCGTCGATATTATGATACGATTTTATGTGTTTTTAAGAAGCTGTAATGATTTTATTTTTGAATAAAATATAAATTTGAAGATATCATAAAAATTTGAAAAAAAATATATCAATGTTAATATATCAAATCAACTATTTAAAAGTTTTTATTTTTTATGTAATTTCTTTAATTTTTCTTATTATAATTTAATTTAAATTTAATAACGAAATAATTTATTTTTGGTTTAAGGATATAAATTTTATAAAGATAATAATTATGTATTCTGTTAGAACTCAATAATTATCCTAATTATATTTTACAAATAAAATGAGATGTTTATCTTGTATTTGATTATGTTTATCTGCAGTTAGTTACACGAATTCAGATATGAAGCTTTAATAAGTTGTATTTACGCACAATCTACTTGCAATTTTGAGTTTTAAGTAATATGCATTAATAAACAGTATTTTACGCATAAAAATGGTTTTTAAGAGTTGTTGTCAAACATTTATAATATAATATTGTATAGATAAGATTGTAACCAACCATCACAATCACCGGTTATATTTAATTAATTAAATCTATAATATAAAGTATCGATAGAATCATTTATTAAAATATAAAATTTGAAAAAGTGATTTATTTATTTAAAGAGTAAACTACAATTTTGGTCCCTATCGTTTACACGAATATATGAAAGTGGTTCCTAAACTTCAATAACTATAATTATCATTCCTACTATTTACATTTTGTTTTGAAAATCGTCCCTTAACTTAACTCTGTTAACTTTTTTCCGTTAAGTCAAGGGTAATTTAATCCTTTTATCTTTTCTTTGTCCTTTTCCAATTCATCTTACTCAAATAAAAATAAAAGGACCCAAGTTGTACATTTCCTTTTGCTTTTATCTCTCTTTATATATACACACATAGGTGGAGGTTCAAACGAGAACACCTTCATTTTACGAGAATGCAAGAACACCTTATATACAATACACATACACACTGCACACACATACAACACACACTATGCATTGTATACACATATACACATTGTGTGCAAATAGGGTCCAAAATATGCACTGCAACATATACAACACACACACACATATGCACACAGCGCCACAAAACATCAACATCGATCTCTCTCTCTCTATAGATTCTCTCTGTGTCCTGTTGTGTATCGTCGTGGAAGGGTGGTGGCTGGAGGTGAGGGATGCCCATGGTGAAAAACAAGAAAAAGACAAAAAAAAAAGTAAAAAAAAACGAAAGCACCCCTCACTTAACTGAGTTTTTTTAATGGTTTCAAGTTTAAGGGACGATTTCCAAAGCAAAATGTAAACATCAGGGACGATAATTGTAGTTATTGAATTCTAAGGATCACTTTCGGAGATTCGTGTAAACCACAGGACCAAAATTGTAGTTTACTCCATTTTTAATGTATAAGAAGAAGTCAACCGGTGAGAAACAAGTGGAACGTGTTACTTAGGCGGATTGAAAATGTGATTACTGTAGAATCGAACGCGGGATTAAGACGAAGTCAGATTCTTTGGTTTTAATTATTTTTTTAAAATTATTAATTATTAATTAATTAATAAATATACTTTCCCTAATTAATCACATGTTTGATCGCTAATTAACTACTCTTCTGTTTCTTCAACTAAAGAAACATAAGAGATCACTGGGTAAGAGCGATGATAAGAATGAAGAGTCTTATCCGGTAAATGAGTGTGGTGACTCTTGCACGGTAGCATGAGCGTGACGACTCTTACACGGTAAGCGCTTACCAGATAAATTGTTGTATACGATATCATTTTGATGGACTACAACCTTACCAGGTAAAATAAATTATTGTGTTGACTCTTAACTATATACTTTTACCGGGTAAACGACACCTAATTGTTTTAAAAGATACAGAACTTGAGATAAGAAAATTGGGTACCGAATAAAGCGTTGTACGGTGGATATGGCCACCGCTTCGTTTCTCCGTCATGATGTAAAAAATATTATGATTGTGAAAGGTGTCACCATATTATTTTGTTGGATGCAACAATATATTTCTTGAAACAGCAACAATAACACAAGTTTCTCTTGGTAGAATTAGTTTGCACATTTTTTATAGTCAAATGATGTCATCACTTGAAAACATTTCTAGATCCTTCTCTACTCGTATGTCAAGGCTACCTACCGCTAAGCATTATCTAAAAGATTGAAACCAGATCAAATTAAATCAAATTTTAACCATTTTGAATCTTCTCAACTCGCCTGGATTTTACTCGCTGTAATTTTCCGACCCACATGGGATTAGTCAGTACAAGTGCATGTTGGCCCAAACAACCACATGTACAAATATTCCAGTATATCTCACTCGAAAGTAGGATTTGAGGGTAGATGTACATACTTACCTTTATTCAAAACAGTAGAGTGATTGTTTTCATGAAAATCTCCACAAAAAAAATGAAAAATATTTAAATATAAACATAAAACGAGAAAAGTAAAGTGTCGACATTAAACAAAATAGCCAAGATTTGGATGTGGCAAATAACACTTCAGCAAGTTGTTTAAACACTTTCGCAAGTTGCTAAAGTGTTATTTTGCAAAATGCCGATGTGACAAGTAACACTTTAGCAAGTTTAAGTAACACTTTAGCAAGTTGCACATGTGACACTTCCAGATCAGCATTTAACAAGTAGCACTGTAGTAACTTGCGAAAACACTACCTTTATGAATATACTATTCATAAAAATGGATTTCACAATATTTTAAAATGCTACTTGCAAAAGTGTTATTTGCAAAATGCAGACATGACAAGCAACGCTTTAGCAAGTTGTTTAAGTAGCACTTTAGCAAGYTGCATAGGCGGCACTTACAGATCAGCATTTAACAAGTAGCACTTTAGTAACTTACGAAAATACTACCTTTATGAACATATTATTCATAAAAATGATTTCATAATATTTTAAAACGCNTCAGCATTTAACAAGTAGCACTTTAGTAACTTACGAAAATACTACCTTTATGAACATATTATTCATAAAAATGATTTCATAATATTTTAAAACGCTACTTGCGAAGGTGTTATTTGCAAAATGCTGATGTGACAAGTAACACTTTAGCAAGTTGTTTAAGTAGCACTTTACCAACTTGTACAGGTGACACTTCTAGATCAGCATTTAACAAGTAGCACTTTAGTAACTTACGAAAATACTACCTTTATGAATATATTATTCATAAAAATGGATTTCACAATATTTTAAAAAATGCTACTTGCGAAAGTGTTATTTGCAAGATGCTGATGTGACAAGTAACGATTTAGCAAGTTGTTTAAGTAGCACTTTAGCAAGTTGCACAAGTGGTCAGCATTTAACAAGTAGCACTTTAGTAACTTACGAAAATACTACTTTTATGAATATATTATTCATAGAAATGGATTTCACAATATTTTAAAAAACGCTACTTGCAAAAGTGTTATTTGCAAAATGTTGATGTGACAAGCAACGCCTTTAGCAAGTTGTTTAAGTAGCACTTTAACAAGTTGCACAAATGGCACTTCCATATCAACATTTAAATAGGTAGCACTTTAGTTACTTGCAAAAATGCAACTTTCATGAATATATTATTCAAAAAAGTGGTGCCTGATTGGTTTGAGTTTGGCTCCAAAGGTCAAAAGTACCAGGAGGTCTCATATTAAAATCCAAGGAGAAATAAAATATCTCCTTGTGGCCACAGAGGTTCAAATGCAGTGACTCCTGGCTATCTGCAAAGCAGGTGGTCGTCCTGAGATTAGTCGGCTCGCATAGCGGGTTGGATATCCAGGTTAATATAAAAATGGATTTCACAATATTCTAAAATGTTATTTACGAAATCTTGGCTATTAATTATACCAAAAAACAGTTATAAAGATAACTGTTTTGAACAATTTCCCATTAAACAAGGCCAAGTATATATTTAAATAAAGAAAGGCATAAAAACAGAACATGAAGTAGAGTCTGACCTGAACTAGGGGCTGCAAACTCTTTTTTTAATTAATCTGGTAAGCATGAACCACATGTGTGCCAGAGAAGAGAGAGAGAGAGTTGAAATGGTCATAACCAAATTATTCTGAAATGAAAGAGAAGGTGGGTGAATCTTTTTTGTGTGGGACTTTGAATTGGTCAGCACCACTTTCTTGCATCATTACTCATTCCTTCAGGGGTCAAACTTATTTCAGCTAATAATTGCTACATCTATTCATGATTTTGAATTACTATGTGAACTCTCAATCAGATTAAATGAATCCAGTATATTATATTCGAAACTGGGATATGCGATGAGATGTACGTATATTTGTCTTCTTCCGTTATAAAGTTATGATGATCATTTGCAATTATTAGCTGAATGAGTAAATTACAAACTTAGAGTGGTTATTTATTTACCCTTTCAGCTAATAATTGCAAATGACCACACTAAGTTTACGCTTCCTGTACTAAAACAAGCGGAAAAAAGACAGGTGCATATGCATACATCTCACCTCATAATTTCAAGTATGATATACTGGATTCCTTTGATTTGATTCAGTTCACACAATACTTCAAAATCATGAATAGTTATACATGTAGCAAATATCGGGTTGAATTCCAAATTTGACACATAAAGTAATGGATTTGATGTTTTGAAGAAAGAAACTTAAGTAATAATGCAAGAAAGTGAAGCGTTAAAAAGATAAGAAACTCAAATATTGCATATAAAAAACGTGCATTAAGCCATGTGTCAACGGATTAGTGTGGCGTTTGACACAAGCCTTGAGCCACGATGAGCCTTTTAGAACACCGAATATAATAAACAAAAGGGAGTTGTGGATGTTTCTATAAAGTGTCTAAAGTAAAGGGAGCTAATAAGTAATAACTAATAAGTAGTACATATAAGAACAAAAAGAACCATGGGTGTTACAATAAAAGTTCTTAAACTTCAAGGGGTAAATAAGTAAATATACTCGATATTTGAATTGGTCAGCAGCAAAAGGGCCAAAGACCAGTCCATTTTTGGGAGAAAAAACACTTCACACGGTTTCTCCAGTCAACTTTTCAAATAAATTCTCAACTTTAAATAATCCTTCAAAACCCATCTCATTTCTCAGCTTCACAAACACACCATCTCTCTCTCTCCTCTAAAAACTAGAGCTGACTTTTCAAATTCAGTCCTACTTCTACTTCAACTTGTACAACCTGCAGCTAAAGTTGTACTATGGATAGTGCTTGCATCATCACTGAGTTAACTCAAGGGATGGAACTCGCTAAGCAGCTAAAAGCGATTCTGAGCTCGGAATGTTCTCCTGTATCGAAACAAGTTTTGATACAGGAGATCATATCGTCGTATGACCGAGCTTTGTTGATTGTTAACTGGGGTGGTGACTTGAGTGGGCAGACACCAGGACTAACGGTAGCACCGCCAATGGCGGTGCTCAGCCAGCCGGAATCATCGGTTTCCATCGATGAGAGTCCACAAAGTAGAGATTTAAATCCACCGTTTGAGAACCAACAAGATCAGAAAGTTGTATGCAAGAAAAGGTAATCTATCTTTCTGATATGTTCTTCTAAGCGTTTTTCTGTTAACCCGTGGCATTCTCAAATCTGTCAGAAGGCCATGGATTTAAAAGTTGTCAGAAGTGCATTTACCAAATTACCCCTTTTTGGGAAGGCTATAACCTTTATTTTTTTTTCTTTTATTGGTGTCACAGGAAGGCAATGCCAACATGGAGAAACCAAGTTAGAATCTCAACTGATAATGGGTTGGAAGGAAACACAGATGATGGTTATAGTTGGAGGAAGTATGGGCAGAAAGATATTTTGGGTGCCAAATTTCCAAGGTGAGAGCAAGATGATTCTTTTTCTTTTTGCTTTTTCAAGATTTGGATCAAGATTCGTTTGAGAGCGTCGAGCCCACTTCGGAGGTCGATACCGGTATATCTAGTTTTAGAGAATGAGTGTGGGACCCGGTTCTGTTTGGACCCTACAGTGATACTATGTTGATATATCTAAGTAAGTATAGATTTTCCAGTATTAGAAACTTAGTCTGACATAGAGATAGAGTGTTTGGCATACTTTTGTTCGATCCTACATTCTAATGTTGATATATATATATATATATATATATATATATATATAAATATATATATAGAGAGAGAGAGAGCAAGAGAGTGAAGTTCAGGGGAAAACCCCACAAGAAATGAAGAATTGAGGAACGTCTTAATAATTGTTCATTTGTACGGTATACACATGTGCAAATGGCAGATTCACCCTTGAATCACCTTGATGATAGAGGAGAAATGAATTTCTCCATCTCATAATTAGGGGTAGAATTGGAAGGCAGGCTCTCATTTTTTAAAGTGGACGCTAATTTTGGGACAGAGGGAGGGAGTAGTGTACAAGACTCTAGCCGTTTCTCCATGGACCCCATGCTCTATGCCAATTTGTCTAATAGAAATAGAAAGTGAGACCCACCTCTATGCGGACCCTACACAGCCACGATATACCTATAACTTGTAATATACGAAACATTTAACCGACATGGAATCCATAAATTAATATTTTGATGATGGGTTTTTTTCTTAATCTTGCAGAAGCTATTATAGATGCACGTACCGTTATGTCCATAATTGCATGGCAAGAAAACAAGTGCAGAGAACAGATGAGGATCCCACCGTGTTTGAGATCACATACAGAGGGAAGCACGCCTGCAACCCTGCCACCGCTCGTTCGGTTGCACCACCACAGTCACCTGAAAAACACGACAGGAAGCAAAACAACCACCATCACAACCACCAACTGCCGCCACAACCAAAATCAGGAGAGATGCTTTCAAACCTCAGAGAAAATCTCAGAGTCAGTACCTCAGATTTGGATGCCACGGTGCCATGTTCATTTTCCTTCCCTTCAGCATCATTGGGATACATGGAAAACTACCAACAATTTAATTTCTCGAATGAAACCGATAACGGTTTTCTGCAAGGGTATCCGCCGTCTTTTGTATCTCCTGCAACATCGGGATCAAACTACTTCACGGAATGGGGAAATGATTTCCAGCATCATGATGACTCGAATCTGTCGGGAATGATCTCAACCACTGCTTCAGCTACTACTTCGCCATTGGCTTTCCCGACTGATCAGCAGGATCTTAGCCCAAGTTTCCCATTTAACAACTCGGGGTTTTTCATCTGATCCGTACGAACATATAGTCATAGATAACTCACAATAAAAAAATGAACATGAAAAAATAGCGATAAATTTTGCAATATTAGAGTAACTAGCGGCAGATAGTGATGCTTATTGGCATCAATAAACTATGTTTGTACAAATAGAAGCATCCAAAACTATGCTTGTACAAACAAAAAGTGTAAGATCTAAGAATGAACTTGAAGGAAAGAAATAAAACAAAATTTAATTAATTTGAACACGTTATTTTAGCATAAATCCATGGAAAATACACAAGCATATGATTTTCAGCAGAATTTAATCTAATAGCAATCCAAGGGCCTGTTTGTTAGCAGCTTAATGAGCTTAATGGGGCTTACGGCTTATTCGGTCAGCTATACATGACCGTTTGGTAGTGGCTTAATGATGTAGAAAGTGGCTTATTTAGTAAGCTTCTAGGGGGAGCTTTATACAGAAAGCCAAGTTTTTTCCAAACATGTCCCTCCTGATTAAAAAACATGTTCCTTCCATCTATGATACAACTCTTCCAAACAAAATTCTTCCTATAATCTATATAGCCAGATTAATCCACACAGACAAGTTTATCCATACAGAACTTAATGAAAAAACAACCAAACAGCCCCCAAGACAGATTACTACAATGCATCACACCAATCGTAATAAGAAACACTTACAGAATGTTAGGGTGGCAAGTGAACCTCAACTTTGCAGCTAAATTCACAAAGCCTTCATATTTGGTACTTTGAGATGGCATCTGTTCATGTTTCTTTGCATTGGTACCATTGAACAAGAAGGTAAAGGATGAGATTGAATAGTTTATATATGAAAAATACCGAGCAGGTAACTCATCCAATATATACTTCAAAAATACATATTTAGAGAAAAAATGATCAATTTTCCATCAAACTTAAAGTGCAATGTGCGAGTACTAATCAAAAGAGATGTGCATCAATAATCAGGAAAATGGAACACAAAAGGAAGTGCTATTAACAATACTTGCAAGAAACTTTTAGAATACTGACGATGAATACATATGTCTCCATTTGGTCTGTAAACATTAGAGGAAACATGAAGCTTATGTGATGGGTTCAATGACAGCTTGTTCGTGCCAAACTCCATTAAGGTTGGATTGCCATAATCTCACCCTCCCGTCACTACCAGTAGTTGCTAGTGTCATCCCGCTCATATCCCACTCCATCTGCCAAACCTACTCAACAAAGGGAAAAAAAAGTGAATAAATGAACCACCAATAACATCACCCCTTCCGTCCATTCACCCAAAAATTGTAGGGGATGTGAGAATTTATGCATGTTGATAGTTATAAGTAAATACAACCACCGTAAACTTTAACCAATATTGGGCTCGAGGAAAGTTCCATTCAGAACCTCGTTTTCATTGACAACCCGGGGAACCAGTTAGTCATGATGAATAACACTGAATAATCATGAGTATCTCATGGATATCTCATCAGTATTATTCATGATGAGTCATGAATAATTGGTTCCCCTGATTCCCAACGAAAATGAGGTTTGGGCTTATTGTTAAGTGGGATGGTGTTGCCTTTCGCCTTGCCTTTTGTCATGATTAGAAACATAAAGTTTTCAAACATTTTGAGCCATCCTAAAGAAAGGACTATCTAGTTTGAAATCCCACGTATGTTCTGTAATGAAAAACCAGATTCATTTGAAATCCCACGTATGTTCTGTAATGAAAATAAAAAATTGAAGTTTCAAGGAAGAAAGCATTTGTATTTCTCACAGTCCTGGCCATGGGCTCTATTCCATTCTTACAGAAGTCAGTTTTGAAATCTTTCTAGATTGGTGAAGTGTACAAGTATTATACATCATATGCTAGCAGAACACATACCTTGTTGTCATGGCAAGGGAACGTCATAACCTTCTCAATTGAAAGCCTTCCATCAGGGTCAGGATTTGAAGCCATTTGCCATATTGAAATGCCCTTGGATGTTGCAACAGCTATCAACTCAAATGGCCTGAAGTTGTTACAGGTATAGAATATCAGCTTTATAAGCAATATTAGAAGATCTATTTTATACGCATACAACACCAGCAACTCTATTTGTTAAGTTAATTATAAAAGTAGTCTATGGATATATAAGTATGTATACATGTACAAATACTAAGCTTGCCAAACTCATGCAAAATTACCAAAAGGTTAGTGTACTTTTTACCTTCCAATATTTGGAGCCCATGCTACAGCATACACCTCATCACCATTGTCACCAGGCTCTGCTAATTCTGCAACCGGAAGCCATCTTTGATGATCTTGGTCAAATTCCCATACCTAAGAATGTAACAAATTAGAGATAACTAATAGCGAAAAGTGCTCATCTTGTTCCTTTTAATTTTAAGATATCCTATAGTACAATCAAAGTTCAATTATTATGATCAATCCCACATATCAGAACTTAAAGAGTACCACCACAACATATCTGCAAAAAGTTGGAATGAAAACTCAAGCCATTAACCATAAACTGTGTCAAAATGTTCAGGCAATGCCAAGATAACCAAAATGATCGGAATATCCTAGCAATGAGGATAACATAAAGATCATTGTTCCCAATTGCATAACAAAAAGCAGCAAGGGTGTGAATCTAATATTGGCTTACCTTGGGCGAATTTAGTTGTGGAGTGTCTGAGGTGAAGCCCAACACAAAACTTGCAGGACGGCTTTCACTTCTGTGAGGGCTCCAAGAAATAGATGCAGACGAACACAAAGCCTTTCCACATTTCGTTACTGCATCTGTAACATTCTGAAATTCAGCCTAGAAGCCAAAAAAAAAGATAAATGTCTCTGTAAGAGCAAGAAACAAGAGATTAACATAATACAAGTTGCATAAGATTAGCCTTTCAAGCATTAAGCATCAATTTCTTCCTCAACCTGGGAGTCAAGGTGCATAGAACATTGAATGCAGGACTTAATCACGCCCATTTGCCTTTCAGCATGAACTAATGGACCACAAAACACTAGAGGCACACATTTATCTAGAAGATTAATCCATTTCAAGTCGAACCATCCAAAATCTATTATCTAGTCATCTTCCGAAAGGTCCAGTAGATAAGAAACACCATCCACATTCTGATTGTCGTTTGGATGGTCTGAATGCATTGGCTCATATAATCACAAATCATAGACCTATCTATCTATACATATGCATGCACACTTGTTAAACCTACAGAAATCAAAAGCAAATACTAATTGGATTTGGATAGACAAGATCAGGGCTTGCATGCTTAACAACTCTAGACTTCAGAACAAGGGAAATGAGAACCAAACATATTGTGGATACTAAGAAATTCAGAGAGATAACCACTAGTCTACGAATGAAGGCTGCTTTCACATCTATAATTTAAGCCTAAATGTTTCAAACAATGATCTCCAGGTTTCTCACAAATTAGTTTACAGAGTAGCTGCAATAATAAAAATGACAAGGTAGCATTACAAACTTATGAGCACCTGAAGTTGCCAGTCCTTCAGTTCCATTGGATCTAAGATCTCATAGACTTTTACATTGCCATTTGAATAAGCAATTGTCTGCAAAGAAAACATAATTTTAATTGGGTAAAATAGAAGATAAATTAACTATGAAGTAAATTGAGTACAAACAAAATGAATACTCGTTTAACTCGATGCAATATTACACCGTGGAGAAGATTGTGGTGGAAGTTTGTGTTCTAGACAACTTATGGGATCAAACAGAACCAAAACCTTTTGATCTTAACATGATTGCACCTCTACCACCGCTCTTGTGTTCTCCTTTCAACAAGGATAGGCACACATGGAAATGTAAGGTGGCTTATTTCGGGTTGGTAGTCTACTCTATTCACAGGTCTTCGACCGCTTATCTTTTATTCCAACAGTTCGCTGATACTCACTGGCCGGAGACAGTCTCCCACCTTAAAAGTACACAAAGTTCGAGCCTTTTCACTATGACCCAGGGGAACTCTTCGCTAAAGGCTCACCAAGGGACTGCTCTATACTAGACCTAAAGATGAAACCTGATCATAATATCTGTAGACCAAATTGTAGTCTGCAGCATATACTTCGTAGTTTAATTTAAAAAACCAGGAGGGAGAACTTTTCCCACATTGCATAGTAACATAACAGCTGCTGACTTTTCATATTCAGTGGACTATCAAACTGCAACTCCATTTTGTGAGAATATTCAAAGTGGACACAAAGAGTACTATAAATCACCAAGCTTTCGATAAACATGTAGTAATATTTCTCGTACTTGGATATGAACATCACCTAAGCAACAAATTTGGCATGCACCCAACTTTGAGTTAAGAACGAGAAATCTCAACTTCAAATGTGATTTTTCAAATATAAACATTCAACCACCAGAATACTCACCAATTTCAAACTTGTGATGGAGTTCCCAAATTGACAATCTATAACTTGATCCAAGGATCCCCCAAAGCTTTTGCATTGCTTCCATCGAACAGGCTCACTCTCTACTACAGATAACGTAGAGAGAAACATTGTTTAAATTATGCTTACTTTTTAGGTATTGATTGAAAATTATGCAGAGCAGATATGATTGTAACTCATCTCAACCATAGATTGTTAAATAACGGTCTTAGTCCAAAATCATGCTGCCCAAAGTAGGATGTTTTAGTCCAAAATTTTCATGAATACCCATTGAATTGAATTGATAAACAAAACAAATAAATAACTGTATGATTGTTAAATGATCTGAACCATGGCAAACAGTATCTAATTCCAAGTATTCATATCAATACCTCCACAAAAGACTTTCAAATTACAACAGTGCTGCATCTAAGAAAACAAAATGTATACCTTCTGCGATCTCTTCCCAAATTAACAAACTCCCATTGGAACATATGCAAGCAATTGCATCACCGTTCTCTGGAGGAACCCAGACAACTTTTACAATGCTTCCCTCATTAACCTAAAGTTCAATTTACTAAGAGTCATCTCAATGGCAAAAATACTTGTTAACATCTGAACAAAAACAAATTCGCCATCAAACTGGAAATGAATCATTGTTTTCCCAAACAAACAATTTGATATTTTGATCTCCAACCACCGAACGAATAGCACATCTCACATAGTGAATAATATAGAATAAACAAATTTAGCTCAAAAATGTAATCGAAATGAAAACCTTGAATTTATAAGTGGATGTGAAGAATGAAGAAGCTGGATCACTAGTATCGAAGATGGCTATTGTTCCATCGATCAAACCAGTAGCCAATCTTTGTCCACAGTAATTCCATGAAGAACATATCGTCCCTTTATCCAACGTTGCCACTGATTTCTCCATTAAAATCTACTTTCTAGGGTTTCTCTGTTTCTCGATTATCCCCAAAATGTTGAGGTTTTAGGGTTTTAGTTCAGCGTTAGTTTATTTGTCTGGATTATTACGAAAATACCCTTTAAACTAACCGTTGTCGGATTCTCTGTTAAAAAAATTAACAACTTGACCATGCATTACCGTTAAAATGCCATATTCTTAATAAACTTTAATTTTGGTCCTTGAGGTTTAGCAAAGTCTTTAAACGTGGACCTAAACTTTGATAAATTTAGAAATCGTCCTTATAATTCTCGTTTTGTTCTGAAAATGGTCCTTAGTGACTAACTCCATTAACATCTCCATCAGAGTAAAAGGCGGTTTAGTTTTTTTCTACCTATTTTCTTAAATATCTTTAAAAAAAAATATATAGTAATATAGTGTTTCTTTTTATTAGTTATCAAAATTGAAAAAGCTTCAGATTTTACCAGTTGGATAAAATGATAAGTTAAATATCTTTTTTTCTAAAAACAAATATGGTCTTGCAGATAAAAAAATTAGAACCAGTATATCTTTTGGGGTTATCACTGGGTTATTAAGATAACAATCTCTAACCCTCCAACATTACCCAACGAGGTAATTTAGAAGTTTCAGGAAAATCGGGAAAAGTAATATAAATCGAATTTATTGCACCAAAATCGTACCAATGTTTCATCTTCTGAGAAGATGATCCTTGAAGGTAATTAATTTTAAGGTAGATTTCATAAAAATCTATATATCTTAAATATGTAGAAGAAAGATTATATAAATATAGAAGATCAAAGTAAAAACGATATATTAGAAATTATGTTAGGATTAACTTTTTTAGAAAAATTATATGTTGTAGTTTTCAAAAGTTATATATTAATTTAAATATATATATATATAAATATGTGTGTGTGTTAAATATATATTTGTATTTTCTTAATTTATATATTGTTTTTTAAATTTTTATATTAATTTATATATTACTAGAAGCGTACTCGCGCAATGCAGCGAGATACATCGTGATTTTAATATTTTATTTTATTTTTT